CACTGTGAATCTACATAAAGATAAGTGGCTACTCCTTGGCATTCTCCTCGTCAAAGAACCAATTTGTTGATACAGAAAAACACTCAAGTACTAGTGAAACAGTCTAACCGGACTGTTAGATTTTCATACAATGGTAACAACAACTCTGAAAGGAAGTTTTCGTTAAAAAGGTCCGAAAAGTCCGTATAGTAGCTCTCCCATCGACCACTCTGATTTTCTTTTGCATAGAGAACATTTCCAAGCACTAAAATCTCTAACAAAAAGGACCACATCAAAAAAATGGAGGTGATTCTCCACGACAAAGAAAAATTTGCTAAATTTGGTGATGTCGAAACGCAGGACAAAACGGCCAAACTAGAGCGGAAACTCCGAAACAGCATGCCCCTTCCAACATAAGAAACGAGACTGCCCCTCAAAGAGAACAGCCTCCTCGATCTTGTAGGTCTAGAAACACTGTTAAAACAAGTGATTCTGCCATCGGTCAACATCTTTTAGACAACCCAGACTGTGCAAAACTCTATAATGACGACATGTTTCGGATAATTGGCAGAGCCCGGTCGTCCTTCCATCTAGCAGTTTTGGAGTCGATCTACATACAAATGATAAAGCCGCCATTGTGTAGACAGAAGGAGTTCGTTTTCTCTCTTGGACTCTATTGGTAATTTTTCTTTAGGCTCGCGGCACTGATTGGTCTACTATACCGGTCTTGTGCTTGCGTTTTTCTGATTGGCCTATTTCGATCCACAATCGTGTATATATTTTTCATCGTGTCCTTTCGGAACCTTATTCTGACGTTTTATGCTCTGAGGAGTGTCAGACGAAAAAGCTTTTAGCATGTTGTAAATTGTTTGCTTTTTTCAAAGCCATTTTCGAATTCTGTACCGCAAAAAAATTGTTCCGAAAATTATAATCGACAGAGACCATGAAACACATATGAAACACAAGATTAGATATGAAATCCCAATATGCGACAGGATTTCAACACATTTAATTCCACCGTTAAGAACATACTAGACAGACAAGCTTCTTTAAAAAAGAAATACACAATAGTCCAGAGGCACAAGGGGGAGCATTGCTACCCGACGAGGCAATTTACCAGACAAACTTTTTCCAGACCAATTTTTGGCGTAGAATTCGAATCTGGATGTTGATCAGGCGAGAGAAGACGCTATTCCGAGATACAGGGGGTTTTGTCCAAAAACTGGGATGCAGCCTGTGAATGAGCTAACAATGGCCACCCGAGGAGGGACTTTGCCAAGCCAACTTTTTATAGACCAGTTTTGGTGCAGAATTCGAAGCTGTATTCTCTACCTAAGGGCCATATGGTGCCCGCACAGCGAGCTTCATAGGGAAGGGGGGCTATATTATGCTAAACTTGACCAAAATGTTGTGCGTGACAATAACAAGTTCTGTAAAACCGTAAAACCAAACTCTTGTTCTGAAAAACTAAATTTTCTCCCAGATTGGAAAATTTATGCAGTTATGTTGCGTAAGGTAAAACAAGGAAGAAGTCGATCAAAACCATCGCTTCCCCCAGTGGATATTCAATTTAAGAATAAGAGTTCATTATTAAAATTTGCTTAAAAGAATGCAATTTCCGGCGATTTTAAAGCATCAAATTATAAAAAAAGTTCCCCTTCGGCGGCGGCAGCAGGTGCCGCCTCAGGTAGTAACTTTATTCCAATCCTTGTCCTAATCTACGGATGCCAAGGAAGTTCACAGTAATTATAAGACAAGACAAACAGAGACAAGATAAAGGTGCATTTAAAATATCTTTCCCGCTAAGGCAAAAGTTATTGTGACTGAAATTTAGTGATCTAACATCGTCGTCTGTACAAAGTCACCAGAGGTAGAAATAGTTGACTTTGCAACATCAGTTGTTGTTTATCAAATGCTATCATCGTTCCTTCCACGCATGCCGCCAAAATTAAATGAGCGATGCATGGTGCAAGCAATGAACAGCATCAACAACGAACGACTCAAAAGACTCAAACGACCAAGTGGAAAACAATGTGTTCTTTGGGTCGTTTGTGTCTTTCAGGAATGACTCTGACGACTCAAACGACACAAACGACCAAGTGGGAACCAGGATTTAGGAGGGTTTAGGCAGAATTACAATACACGGCATGTCTTACTCAACCTTCTACAAAATTGTTAGAATAGCGTTGATAAAGGTTGCAGGGGCAATATTTTTTGATCTGTCAAAAGCTCTTGAAAGTATAAACCAGGACCTTTTAATTACAAAAATACATGCATATGGACTTAGTCTTAGTTCCCTGCAGCTCATCCAGAGCTATCTATCAAATAGAAAAGTAAGAGTGAAAACAAACAATCATTTCAAACAGCGTTAGAAAAGCTCACGGGACATTTTGAGCCACAGAAGAACTTGCTTCATGAAACATATTTATTTCGCCAGGCCAAACAAGAGCCAAATGAGACTTTAGGTCCATTCCATGTTCGATTACAGAACTTAGCATCACGTTGTGACTTTGGGGATAGAAAAGAGTTCGAAATATTGTTACAAATTGTCACAAATGGATCATCAAATAGTTTATGAAAGAAAGCTTTACGAGATCCAAAATACACATTGAAAGAAATGTTATTAGATGGCCAAAGAGATGAAACAAGTACACAGCAAGCAAGTAGCATTGAAGGTAACACTGAAATAAAGCAAGAAGTGCATCGTGTAATAAAAAGTCAGCACAAGAAAGGACATGTACAAACAAAAAAATGTCATCAGTGTGGAGGATCTTACCCTCATAAAAACCAGACCTGTCCAGCTGCTGGTAAGATATGTCATAAATGTGGGAAAAAGAACCACTTTGCAAAGTATTGTATGAGCAAAACTCAACAAGTGCCAAGGAAAACACAGCCTTTCAAAAGACATATTAGGCCAATTACAACAAAATCAGTGGATAAAGCACAAAGTGATTCTGATTCAGATTTTGATTACCTTTATGCTGTGAAACAGAAGAAAAAACCTGACCAAAAAGCGCATTACTGTAGCCACATTTTATGTCACAGAAGGGAACTCTGGTTCACTATTAGGTTCAGAGACATCCCAAGAACTTGGTCTTGTTACATTTCATATCAATCCAATGGTTTCAAAAGTGAAAGATAAAAATGTGAAACCACAAATTGCTTCCACCTGCTCATGGATTCCTATCAGATCTACCCATGATAAATCAGTTGATGCTGCTTTACTTGCAAATAAAGAAATTTTTAGAGGAATAGGAAAGTAAGATGGAGTTCAAATTAAATTGAACATTGAAGAAAATGTAACTCCAGTTGTTCAAAATACCAGACGCATACCATTCCACATCAGAAAGCAAGTAGAAGAATAATTGTTAAGTCTGGAAGCACAAGGAATAATAGAGAGAGTGCCAGAGGGGCAAGCAACCCCTTGGATATCCCAGATAGTTGCAGTACCAAAGAAGGACAATAAGTCAATTCGGATTTGTGTTGATATGCGTTCAGAAAACACAGCCATAAAAAGAGTTAGGCATGTCATGCCCACAGTTGACGAAATTATGGTACAATTAAATGGAGCCAAATTCTTTTCAAAGATTGACCTTAGCCAAGCATACCATCAATTAGAATTGCACAAAGATAGCAGATATATCACTACATTCAGCACGCACATTGGTTTATTCCAATACAAAAGATTGAACTATGGCACGAATGCAGCTGCTGAGTTATTTCAACATACATTACAAGAAGCTTTAAAGGGTATAGATAATGTCAGAAACTTAGCAGATGATATTATCATTTTTGGCAAAACCAGAGCAGAGCATGATAAAGCATTGAATGAATGTCTTGCAAGATTAAAGGCAAGAAAGCTCACAGTAAACAGAGAAAAAAGTAAATTTTTACAACGAGAACTTTCATTCTTTGGTATGGTATTTTCAGAAGATGGTGTCAAACCAGATCAAAAGAAGATTGCAGATTTAGTAGATGCTCCTATACCAAACAATACATCAGAAGTGAGAAGTTTATTAGGAATGGCAAATTTCAGTGCAAAGTTCATACCAAATTTTGCAGATATAACAGAACCACTGAGAAGATTAACTCACAAAAACATTGTATTCAAATGGGAGAAAGAACACTCACAAGCATTTAAGAAACTCAAAGATGTTCTGACAGACAGTCCAGTTATGACATATTTTGATATTGAAAAAGAAACATACCTGATTGTAGATGCCAGTCCCATTGGTATTTCTGCAATTCTTGCACAATCAAACAAAGATGAGCCTCAAAAAGTGATTGCATATGCCAGTAGAGCACTTACCCCTGTGGAGCGTCGATACTCACAAACTGAGAAAGAAGCACTTAGTATTGTGTGGGGTACTGAGCATTTTCATATGTATCTTTATGGAAAAAGTTTCAACCTGATAACAGATCACAAGCCTTTGGAGGTGATTTATGGGAACCCTAAATCAAAACCATCATTACGCATTGAAAGATGGGTGCTCCGCTTACAGCAATATTGTTTCAAAGTTATTTACAAGCCTGGAAAAGATAATCCGGCTGACTTCATGTCAAGACATCCTACAACAGTCAGTGTCAAAGAAAACATGGCAGATGAGTATGTGAGATATATAACAATAAATGCGATACCAAAAGCCATGACCATAGAAGAAGTACAAAGAGAGACAGAAAAGGATGGGACACTCCAAGCAGTCATAAAAGCAATTAAAACAGGAGATTGGAGTAACCAGTTTTTAGTATCTTACAAGTTAGCCAAAGATTCATTGACAATTAATCATGCAAATGGAATTATTTTGCGGGGAAACCAAATTGTCATGCCTAAATCATTATGGAAAAGATCAGTAAAACTAGCTCACGAGGGTCACCAGGGCCTTGCTAAGACTAAAGCCCTGATCAGAGAAAAAGTTTGGTTTCCATTTATTGAAAAATTGGTAACAGAAGAGATTAATAGCTGTTTACCTTGTCAAGCAGTAGGAACATAAAAAGCACCAGAACCATTGCGAATGAGACCTATGCCATCTGGACCTTGGAAAAAACTGCATATTGACTTTTATGGACCACTTCCAAGTAGTGAGTATGTACTTGTTATTGTAGATGCTTATTCTAGATTCCCTATAACAGAAATTGTAAAATATACTGCTGCTTCAACCATTATTCCAAAACTAGATCAAGTTTTTGCAATGCATGGACTTCCTGAAGAAATAGTTACAGACAATGGTCCACCATTTAATGGTGATGATTTTGAAAGATACTTGATGACTCTAGGAATAAAGTTTGACCTTTCTACACCATTATGGCCCCAAGGGAACTCAGAGGTAGAGAGATTTAACCAACTTCTAGGAAAAACAATTAGAGCTGCATGTATAGAAAATAGAAATTGGAGACAAGAACTTCAAAGATTTTTATTGAGTTATAGATCCACCCCACATGCAACCACAAAGATTGCACCTTCAGAACTGTTATACAATAGGGTCATTAGAGGGAAACTACCTTGTTCAATCAAGACAAGTAAATCTAAAAGACACAGAGAAGCTCAGGAAAATGATGCAGTAGGGAAAGAGAAGATGAAAAGCTATGCAGACAAAAGAAGACACACAAAGATTTCTGATATCAAAGTTGGTGATACCGTTTTGTTAAAACAAGATAAAAAGAACAAGTTTTCTGCAAACTTTGAAAGCACTACTTACAAAGTTATATATCGTAAAGGTTCCAGAGTAACAGCAGAAAGACAAGATGGAAGGAAAGTCACTAGAAAAATTAGCTTTTTCAAAAAGTTTAGTAAGAAAGATGATGATGATGATGATTTGTCTGATGATGACAATCACAAAAGAACAGAAACAGTCGAAGAGAATAACAGAGAAAACAGATATCCTCTTAGACAAAGGCGAATGCCTGAAAGATATGGAACAGTTGTAGCAACAGACTAGGAGGAGAATTTATTTTATTTCTTTATTTTTATTTTTAAATACTATGCAAAGAGAACAGGACTCAAAGAACAAACAAGTTATGTTATGTTTATGTTGTCAAAAAAAAGGGGGAATGATGTAATGTTTTATGGTTATAATTATTATCATATATGTAAGACCCAGGCCCCCCGGAATCTAAGTTAGAGTCGAACACGAGGCGGACAACAAAATGGTGTTCTATCTGCATTCACTCTTCAATATCCGACAGCGTCCCTCAAGGATCAGTGTTAGGGCCTCTGCTGTTAAATGCATTTATAAAGGACATTTTCTTTTACATCAGAAATACTAAAAACTGTAATTATACTGATCAATACTATCTATGCCTTATATAATTATACAACATTATCTATGCCTGTCGCTCGGATCTTGATACAAGACATTTAGAAGAAGATGGTAACGTGATAGCAAATTGGTTTTCTGTAAATTCTCTAAAACTAGATGGTGACAAATGTCATTCAATGATATTTGGAAAAAAGGAGAATAATCAAACAGTCTAAACTTGAGAATTCACAAACTTTTGAGAAACAATTAAGTTTTAAAAGCACATCGAAGACCTTTGGAAAAAGACTAACAAAATGCTCCACGCACTTTATCGCATATCGAATTTCAGGGATCCTATTAAACTAGGGAATTGGATGAATTCTTATATAAAGCAAAATTCAGTTTTTGCCCACTTGTAAGGATGATTCACAACGGGGCTTTCAAAATAAAATTAGATAGGATTCGTGATAGAGCATCGCGAACGGTATGCAAAGATAGTGATATAGAATTGCACAAACTACAGGGTAACAATTTAACTATTCATCCGCGCCATCTGCAACTGTTAATGATTGAAGTTTTCAAACCAAGAACAGTTTGAGTCCAGCTTTCATGAAATAAATTTTTTCATTGAAAACGACAATGACTGTATTCTAAGAAACAAGAATCATCTACAGTTACCGAAAGTAAAGACCACCATATATGGCACAAGAAAATATTTAAAAAAGAGGATGCCCTCTTTGGTCTTCTCTACCAAAGAAAATCAAAGATATCGCCCGGAAATTTTTGGCACGGAAAAGTTGTATTTCCAGATCGCGAAATAATATGCAGTTTGCATTATATTTCAAAACATGATAGTAATTGAGGTTTTATTATTGGATTTTATTGTTACTTGGTATCTTAATGTTGAAATTGTAATTAAAATTTTCAGGCGGTAATTAGCTCATAGCTTTTAGCTGTAGCTACCACGAATTTATTATTGCCAACAGAAAACAAATGAATAATGAAAATTTTTCATTTCAATTCAATTGAACCACAAATACAAACCCCTCTAATACATAGGTTGTTTGCACTAGGCTAGTTTACAAGTTATAGGTAGTTTACAAGATAATACTTTACCAGTCGTAAGTGCAAATGGGAAAACTGAGAGGAAAACAAACAAAATTGAAAAGTATGTAATTCTGCATTTGTACATGGTTTATTTCTGCAACAAAGTATGTAGTACGTAGTACGGATGGCAATGATGAAAAGACTAGAGATGAGATACCGTTTTGCTGCTGATTAATTAAGACAGAGTCACACATTTTGAAGAATGAGTTACAGGAATTGCAGAAGATGCCAAGAGAGGTCATAGAAAAATTCACAAAAGAGCCACATTTGAACTGCCGCTGTATACCAGATAAGAGAGGAGCATACTTGCTGTGCTCTTTGTTGCATTTGTGTCAAGATTCGATTCGAAACCAACAGTTAGCTCTAAGATGTAGAGGTTATTGTTGTTAGCCTTAACGAGAAGATCTGGGGGATTGTTTTCTCCAGTTATGATTGATGGTTAAATATAGCTAGGTATATCAGCGTAGATGGTAGATTCATTAACAGCTTTTAAAGACGTAGCTAGAAAGTTTAAAGTGCCACTGACATGAAAAATGAAAAAATCTTGATTAAACCCAATTATTACATTTTAATAAAGAGTTGGTAGTGCTGAATAGAATGGTGTTATTATTTCCTGAATATCTTTTCGTTAATATAATTTTTTCAAGCTCCAAAATACTGGTTATTGTTCGAATAGAAAAGCGCGGCCAAAGAGGAATTTCAAAAATTTGTGAAGTATTCTGCTGTGTTCGTGCACCGGCAAGGTCAGTTTTTTGCGTGGTTCTGAAGGATGGCAAAGATCGGGCATAGCAAAAAAAACGACCTAAATACGGCAAATATGGTTATGCTGGTGCATGAAACGATAATTGCTGTTTGGATAACAGTCACATTCCCGGAAACCAATCGCAGAAGTTTTTGAAAGATGGAAAAATAGCATCGATCGTGGGTATAATTCATAAAAAGACACAGGGCCGGTTGCAATCCATTGTCTTCATCCGCCCTGTGGCCCAAAATACACTCTACGTTCAAGAATTATAACAACTCCAACCAAGTTTCAATCGATTTTGAACAGTCTTACGGAAGAGGATCAAGTGGAAACAGACATTCGAGATGGCTTTTATAGAGCTCCAGTATGGAGCTGGCACGAGGGGCTTAAATATTTTTGAATCTGAAAATTCCTATCCGACCTTAGGTTGCTGGACATTTTCTAGGCTCCGTTGGGGTTTCGTGAGAATATTTCACTCTCTCCAGACCCTTTTCGAAAAATCTCCTAAGACTCAAACACCCAAAAATGAACTTACGGCCCTTATTTTTAAAATATATTTGCAGATATAGAATCAATGATGTTTACTGCCCAAGAAAAAACCCTTGCAAAATGTCAGTGGCACTTAAAGATAGAGTTATGTCGCTAGGTGTGCCGGCCTTGTTCTAGATATGTTTTGCAGCTAGCAACAATGTGAAGGAGCGTTTCTGGCAGACAACCGAAAGAGCAGTGAAAGGTTTGGCTCTGGTTTCACTTTTTCTGTGTGACAACAGTATTGTTTAGGTACCTTATTGCGAAACTGAAAATATTCTGAAGCATGCTACTTTGCACCTTGAACCAAAGTTTGTTTATTTGTGGAAGATCCTGGCTAAAAATATGTGATAATAAAGATGCCTGGGAAGACAGGATGTTTCTCAGACGCTCTTTCTGTTCTTGCTGGACAGCCTTTAATTGCTTCTTTTGTGTTCCTTTGAGTTCTCTTGTATTATGCGCTACTGCTGGCATTTTAAACAAAGTACGAATGTTATCGTTTGATGAAGATATCAATGGGTTGCGTAAAACAATTTGACACTGTAGTAATTTGGCGGATGGTAAAGTAAGGAGTCCAAACTGGTTTTTAGAAAGAATAATGCCACTCAAGAAAGCACTTATTTGGGGATCAAGCCGTTGGCGGTGCAAACCCACGTCTTTGAAAGATGTGCTACAGTAAGGTTCCAAGAGAGTTTAGAGAGAACAAAGTTGAGATAAAGACGCAGCTTATTTTTTGTATAAAGAGGCTGGGAATCGATTTGTTTATGCATGTTGAACAGTGTCGATAAAAGGTCAAATTTATGTTTTTGGTTTGTCATTTCCCAGTAAAAAGACGACCGTGGTACTTGAAAGAGTTTCCATTCGAGACAGACGGGATAGATTTTTATATCAATGAAAAGCTTAGGTTGATAATGAAGAGAACGTGAGGATTTTTCTTATTCCAAAAGTGACGCATTTATCAACACGTATGATCATGTCCCATAACCCATTCTTTCTCATTGCTGATGATAATGGCAGCATCGTCTGCGAATTGAAACCAATGGAAAGGTTGAAACATACTGCCGTTCTGATCATGTGGAGAAAAACTTAACTTGTATTTTTCAGCTTTCATGCACTGTTTGAATGTGTTTAAGCATATAATAATAATAATAAATAATAATAAATAATTTGTTTAAAGTTGGCACACTAGATGAAAGTCTAATAGCTATAAAAAAGATAATTAAACTATCTATAAATAATTAGAACAAGATGAATATCAATGGTATCAATGTTAAAAAAGTGTATCGAGCATAATATTCTATGAATAAAAACCTAAGAGACTCACGTGAGTCATAGGCACGTGGTGCAAACATGTTCCTACGCCTCGTGCAGCTGACACTATTGAAGACTGTCCAGTTATTGTCGTCTACGCTGGCCACGTGCTGAGTACGGAGGAAAGGAGACGATAGGACAAGCGTTATAACCTATTGAAAGTAATGTAGTGTTGGACGTGTATGCCACACTGCAAGTTGCTGGAGAGGAACCGGTAACAATATCGTCACAGACTCTAGTCCGGGCAGGAATACGAAACCATTATAGAAATGTCCTGGCTTTTGGAATGAATGCTAAGAAATTGTCCTGGAGTATGTTTATTTCGCAAATCATAATGCACATTTCTTGCCTAAAAATCTCACTATAAAACTAGCATAGATTGAATAGTAGGGACTGAGGCATTCGCCTTAAAGCACACCACGACGAACTGAATAGCTAGAGAAGACATTAAGCAGAGATAGCAGCAAATACTAAGGGGTAGAGATCGAATAAAGCGAATACAACAAAACAGCATGTTTCGAAACACCAGAAACGACTTACCAGAGTTGACGTGGCGAAAAGCCAAAGAAGAGCCAAGCACCTCAACTGGAGCAAGAAGGGAGCAAGAAGCTGGATCATAACAAATAGGCAAAGTGACTTTAGGAAGAAAATGGAAGGGTAACAGCAACAAGGCATGATTGGAATCATTGACGAGAAAAAAAGGCTGTTACAAAGGTTACCGAATTGGAAAGCACCCGAACCAGATATGGCAAAGATAATGGTGCAAATACTTTACAAGAATTATTCCATCAATACATCAAGTAATCTTTCTCGAGCTGTGGCTGACCTCAAATATGTTTTTATCAATTTGAGCTTCGAAAAAGATCCCTATGCGGTAGCTATATGACAGGAACTGTCGCGAAAAGAAAAAGAGCTTTGTAGACTGGTGGAAATGAAGAGCTGATCGACTTTCCAACATCAAATCAGCCAAGTCACAGCTGTCCATTTCTTTTATTTCCACGCGAAACTCGTTTGCAAATGCCCGTAGCTTGTTCCCAAGTCCTTTGTAAGTCTTTGGAATACAGGCTCAGTAAGTTGTTTGTTGCTTTGGAGATGTCTTCAGTTGGTGGCTCTTGCTAGACGGTTGGAATAAAATATTGAATGTATGAAGTAACCAGATCTTGCCCACAAAAATTTCTATAGGATGCATCAAAGCAGTATCAACAGTTTTAAGAAACACATTGATTTTGCATATTCATTGTGGGGTATTGAAAATATTGTCTCTCAAATGCTCCAATAACGGACATTCTATTTCTACTCTTGCTTTAAAGATAGACTACTGTGTGCAGCATATGTTAAAGCTATCGAACAGTTTGCTATAAGAGTCCCAACCGCGTAGACAAATTTGAAATCAAGAAACAATAACAGTCGAATAAGCACAGTTTAAATGTTTTGTTGGGTGGAATTCACGAGAATGTGCCGATTGCCGGTAGAAATCGTATCTTTTCTTGAGTAACTTTGCATCATCTCGCTCATTTTTGTTCTTTGATGTCAATGTAATGCGAGTTAAAACTGTCATAATATGTGGATCACGGACAGCACGAACAGAATCAATACGAGAGGCCCACCTTGTGACACACAACTTCTTAAGTGTCAAAGAGCCTGAGAAACTTCAACCCTGGGTTCTTCCAATCTATTCAATGATGAACCGAAAAAATTAAAAACATTCCTCGATGTCCAAAAGAAATCATCATTCTCCGGTACTGCCCCACAGAGTCACTAATGATCAAATTCAAGTATGGTGCTTCCGCATAAAAATCACAAATAGAGACAGAGACTCACCATATATTAACGATTTCATAGTTGAATGATATGTATTCCATGATAGGTACCCGTAGCTATCTCAAGTATCGGGCCGGACTCCTCTAATCTTTGGAAAATTGTCCCAAATTTCTAAGAATGAATGGCTTTGTTTCGCCATACTGTTTCGCCCTACCATCTCGGAGAGTTCTTTGTATAGATCAATCCAAAGGAAGCAAGGGGCGGATCTCAGGCAAAAATTCTGAACTGTGAGTTCGTTATGGCAGTCTATATATGCAGGGCTGAGGCAACATTCATTATGTACATCGACACAATTCTAACGTGTTTAAGGGAGTATTCGCACCGCGACCGTTACGTATTGGACACAAGGCGATAGCATGAGGAGATCGTAGATCCCCGCCACAAAGTCTTATTGGTGAGAGGTTGCAACACACTGTAAATGCTAAGCGGTTACGGCTATCACATATGAGTTGGCAGTACTGTGAGGGAAGAGAACTAACGCACTTACAGATGAGTCCATGATCTACGCTGTGTGAAAAGAGCGTTTAGATGCCCTATATCGACACTGAGGTAAGATATAAAAGCTACGTGATCGTAGACGTTTTCCTCATTTTATATTTCATCAAGAGTTACGAGAGCGCGAATCGTAAATGAGGTCCGGAGAGGTCTGAGGCGTGCGCTTCTCAAATATATCTTCTGTGTGGTTATGCGAGGCGTGATATGTAGTCATTCGCACGAGTATACAGAGATGGAGGCAGATACTTATAGTTATCTCTAGTGGCCAGCCGCAACAAACAGAAAACATCATAGCCAATGAATTTCAGAACAAATTTAACCGTGCACTCCTAAATAGAAACAAATTCACAAATATTCATAAAACCTGCATTAACAACCTAATATATTTAATAGCTAAACCAAATCTAAGCGCGTGTAAGCAGTATTCTAGGAACTCCCAAGAAAACCCTGTCGGAGTGATGACCTCAATGGGAAATATCCCACAAGCAACTGCGAAGAGAGAAACTGTACTATTTTAACCCGGCACTTATCTGAATCAGAAAATTATCTGTATATATCCCACATTGAAAAAGATTCACTTTGGAAAGTGTTGTCTAATGAAATTTTTTCTTCTGCACAACAGGCTAGTCTACGCTGTTAAAACTATTAGAGGGAATTATGGCAATCCCGCACACGCTACAAATCGGACATAGGT